AAATCGTCTGGCGTTAGACAGAGTAAAATACTAACGTAGGGTGCATCAGGGTGCAATGCAACTCAATGGGTTAAAGCACTTCCATTATTACCTTCGGCATCCCCATGTATACTCTGACAGACATCTAAGGTTTCTTTTCGTCTTCTTCTGTTTGACCGAACTGAGAGAGAACATTGAAGTTTCTCTGAGTTATGTGGATCTAACTTAGAGGGTGCTTTTCGTCTTATGGTCAAATTCCTTTTCAGACTTGCTCGTAGTTTATTGGTCTTTTTATCTTCAAGTTTCCTCTTTTTTGCTTGTAAGGACTGTTCTTCTACACTGAGCAACACAATTTTTTCTTTATGGCGTTTAATCTGCAGAAGAACATTTTTTGCTAATTACTATAGAATTTATGATATTTTATTATAGTATATGCTGAACCAATGCATTTAATATATATTTTAATTATTTCTTATATCTAGCATACTTTAATGCACTAAGAAATCCACTGCAGTCTTAAATTAACTGAAAGATTAGTGTAGATGTAGAGTTTGATGAACACTCAGTACTTACCCTCTTTGAAACATTATCAATATCTTTTTTGGCAACTTGCAGGCTTGCATTTTTAGCTAAGAAAAGTTTCTTTAATTCTTGCCTTTTTCTAGAAAGTTCGCCAACAGGGAAGCGCTTTCTTGCGGCGGCTTTGTTACTTGACTTCTTCTTGCCCATATAAAATTGTCGCTGGACAGACGCATTTGTATTAACCAATGGCAAAAGAGCAAAAGTTGTGAAAAGCACATGGATCTAAAACCCAAAAAGCTGTGAATTAGATAACTTCAGACAATTAGCAAGAATTCTATGGTTTTAAAATTTCCAAATGTAACGAAAATCTCACTTACCGAAAGCATTAACTTCAGGATTCTGACTGAGACTAGACTATAACAGCATTCTGACATCGAAGATAGCAAGCTTATTTTACTTTCGAATATAAAACAACATGTCTTCTTGAACAGCTTGACAACATTGTACTGCATACGGGTCCTCGATTATCCAACAAGATCCACAATTGAACCTTTCAATACCTTCATATCCATCAAATTTTAATTTGGAAATCCGAAAATAGCCATGACGGCCATTTTGAATATTTCACCGCCATCTTGGATATTTTTCGCAGACAAAAATCATGGCCTTCTGTGTCGCGAATTAGCCCGGCGTGATCTTGTCCATACAACTCCACATTCTGCACCAATACTTTCAACATCACCAGGCATCTCTTCACCATGAATTTTAACCAAACACATAGGATTTAATGGCTGCTTAATGCAATTGCATAACAATGGCTCATCTAAATTCACCAGTGGTAGGTCATTCAGTATATCCTCTAAAATATCCAGCTTGGGTGGCAGATTGTTACAGAAGTTGGTGATGGAATAATGTTAAACTCCCACAACAGAACACAACATAAGTACTACAGGTAAAAAAAGATTTGATGCATTTATACAGGGACGTTGGAACAATAAAAAGGCAAGGGCACCTTTATAGACCTACAATTATGTGTTGACTTGCCAATGAAAGCCTGATTGTGCATGTTCCATTGACGATAGCTGTTCTGTGTTCTGGCAATAAAGTCTACTCAAGGAACTATAACTGCACAAACACACTTAATCAGGTCACATTCAAGTTCACACCTAATGACTTTGCCCAAAACTGGAGATAAGATTTAGCAGGCAGAATTTCTATAACTCAAAGTGCACTTCTGCCCCCTTTGCCCCTCCTCCCTGCTTTTATATTAAAATAGAACTAATAGAATTTAATTATCATTCTTTTCTGATCTGTTTCTAGTTCAACCTAATTGTTATGTCTGCAATACTGGTAATGTAGGGGGTGCGCATAGTGTTGTGAATGTAACAATAATGTGCATGTTTTCTGTGGTACTGCAGTAAGCGATTCTGATGAAGGATATGGCCAACCAATAAATAAATAATAAAATAATAGATTTGACTTATTTGACATAAAGTCAAATACTTGTATGATTTCCGAGTATAAATGGCCCATTTTCCCACCAATTAAATCATAAAATAATCGTACCTTAAGGTCATCGTACCTTAAGGTTGTCGTTATCCATAAAACTAGAAGTTCGACATCCCTTCACGAAGCAGCTCCAGTCGCTTTTTCGACACACAATGTACATAAAGATTGTCACGTCCATCCAAATCAGTAGCTTTGTTGCCACGAACAGTACGAAAATTCGCCATGATTTACAATTTTCAATTTGTACTTTTGAATACCGCTCCTTGTAAATTGAGTAGTGAACACAACGAGAGCTAGTCGAACAATGATGGCGCGTCCCGGGAAATCGATCATATTAATGAATTACAATGCATGCCGGGAAGGGCTTCCAACCTCCTCTGTGGTCATGCTATATGCAAATATTTTCATGTTCTACCAATTTCTAAAGAAATGAGTAATGATTATTTAAAATTTGCATAGCATGACCAAATTTTCAGGCTGGTTATGCCACTGATAACTAAGTCAATCGTGTACTGATTATCTAAGAGTGTATATAGTAACTGTAGAAATAAAGACATTTTGCAAATAGTGATTTGAGTGTTCTTTTTTGGGTGTCACAGACTTATTTTGGTGCCATATTACCCTTGGAGTGTAAGAAATATTGGAAATTTGTATTGATAATATGTTGCAGCAATGAAAAAGGACCTTTGATAAGGGTATTTGTTTCATGTGAGCACAAAACATAAATTTTACTCAACTACATAGCTTATTCAAAAATTCAATACAAATACTTCCATTTATGCTACATGCATGAAACTTCAGGTACTAGTAGATCACAACCGTGTCTTTCAGTTACATTCATAAAATTATTGACATATTTGAAATTTGAACTGATAGATATATTTATGCATAATTGGAACATTTTTTTATATCATAATTTATGCGAGTAAATTGTTAACCAAGCTCCGGATGAAATTGAAATTAGTATTGTTGGAAAGCGGAAGTCCTCTTTCGAACGATGCAATTTCTGTTTCCGTATGATGTATAGTTTGAAAGATATATGCGTTTAAAACAACACCACTCGAAATTGCTACTTTTCGACTGGATGAGAATGAATTAAGATGTTTGAATCTTCTTGCCAGTTTCTAAAAATGAATACAGATAATATTAGCATAATTTTACCCATCATCGGGAGCTTATTATTGTAACACATTGCGGGTTGGGATAAAACACAGATATGGACGGACGGATACGCGGGTGGATAGACAAAAGGGATAAAAAATGTGAATGCGGACAGAAGGGATAAAATGGGGATGCGGACAGAATAGATAAAATGCGGATGCGGACAGAATAGATAAAATGCGGATGCGGACAAAAGCAATAAAATGCGGATGCAGACAAAAGGGATAAAGTGTGGGGGAAAATTGCTTAAAAGAAAACATTAAATTTAAACAATATTTAACAACTACTCTAAAATTTGATTCAGTCCTGAATGCATGTGTTCAAACTGAATATCAACAAAATATTGGCATATAAGAAAATAAACTGATATATATTTATATGTATAATAACGAACTATACGTTGACTTGAGAGAGTAAAACGAATACAAAGGTAATGTTTCAATATGACATATGTATAGACACACTAAGCTATGCATAAGATAACGTCTCTGTAGCTTGTGTTACTTATTGTACAGATGATATTTTGTTGCAAATTGTTCATGCATATAGTATACAAGTATTATTAGCCTGCGTAGCGGCTCTCAAAGGAAAGGAGAGCCTGCACGAAACCCCATGCTTTACCGTTTTAGGTTCAAAATGAAAAATATGCTAATTTATGCTAAAATAATCATTGATCGAATTTGAGGGGTGTTTGTTCTTAAGTTTTGCATTCAAAAGAGATTCGCATTTGGGGATCTCTTTCACGATCATGTTCGTTTTCATCGACGACAAATAGATTTTTTCTTGATGATTTGTAGTTTTTAACTTTGTGCCAGGAGAGAATTGCTGTGAATGCTTACGAACAGGACTTGCTCTCTCTGGGGTGACGATTTCAGACACCTTTATCTTCCCTGCATCGTTCGAAACTGACATACTGATATCACAGTTAACCGCTGTCAAAATTTGTAGGTATCCACAGGATTTCGTAGCTTTATCACAAATGAACTGCAAACTACTTGTGACGACGATGGAGACTGCTCTAGAGGTATTCTCACAAACTTCAAATTTCTTTAGCCGACATCCATATATTATTTTGTTTTGAAATTTGCAAACATAATGCCAATCTTGTTTGCTGAGTAAAGCAATCTATATTATCTCATTTTGAAAAGTAAATTTGCAAACGTGAACGATGTATGTAATTGACCAATTTTGACATCTGTAGAAAATGTGCATAGCCTGCAGGCTAAGTTGGCAGGAATGGCAAAACAGCAAATCTTGTGCAGACTCTCCTTTCCTCTGAGTGCCGCTACGCAGGCTAAGGAATTATCGCCTTTCCATCAAGTCAACTCGGATCAAACAAGGACTATGAGAGTGCATGAGAGTTTGGCAGTCATGAAATCTTGGTTAGCTGCTCTTAATGTTTTGCCACACTATCATGTATTTTGTTTAGTTAGAAGGTAGTTGGCACATTATTCAAACCTTTATTTTGTTAATCTAGAGCTAGAAATGGTCCCTTATAAATAATTTGTGACTGCCAGCTCTCATCAAACTCTCATTCTTGTTTGACTGGGGCTTAATACAAACAAAGTTTTTCTTAGTGCAATATCAAATTTGGACACCGAATTGTCTTAAAAACTAAACGTTTTCGCGAACAAGTAGTGGTGCCACCTATGATGGGACAATCAGCATGCTGGGGATAAAATATGGCTGCTTCATATGAATGCAGTTCGAATTGAGATGAAAATAAACATTTCCCTCCTTGTTTACTTTTTCCCTCGAAGAAGGAACAAAGAAACTCCTCATCATTCTCAATACAATAGCCATATCATCCGGAGAAGCAGGAATACTATCTACTGGCCACTTGTGGTGGCCATAGCATTTGTGGTGGTGGTGGCAGCGATTGCTGTGGTGGCCGTAGCATTTGTGGTGGTGGTGGCAGCAATTGTTGTGGAGGTTGTGGCAGCGATTATTGTGGAGGTCGTGGCATTTGTGGTGGTGGTGGTATTTGTGGTGGTGGTGGTGCATATTGTGGCACTGCCTGTAATGATTAACTTGAACTTACATCTTACATCAAATGGCCCATCGATCATGGTAGTTACAACAGGTTGGGTCTTATTTCTGCCTCCTTTTCTTCTTGCAGTGGCTGCTTGGCTACTCTTCTTTCCAGTGCCTTGTGAACTGTCAAAGGTAACCAACGATGTGATATTCATTGTTTTCAGTCCTTTTTTCACTAACCAGTCCACATATTTATTTAGCATACCGGACTTCTCTGCAGTTGCAACAGCATGAGCACAAATTTTTGCTGCTTTGTACGAGGGACATTCATCACAACTAACTCTGCCATTTTTATGCATTGTGAGAGGTAGGTAATCTTCAAGTTAAGCCCTTTGTCGAGTTAAGCACTTTTCGAGTTAAGCTCCGACCACGCCAAAACCACACCCATTTTCGTCAAGAGCTTAACTCAAAGAAAGAAACACAACTTGGAATATTTGAATGAAGCCCCGTGAAACAAAGAAGAGTTTAACTCGAAGCATACCTAATTTTAGTGTGCAGTGATAACCAATTTGTGCAGTGATAAAATTTGCTTTGATAAGCTGTTAATTGACACAAGAAAATGAGACAATGAGCAGAAAACTGAACTAATCCGGCGAAACATTTTGAATGAGAATGATTTAATTGAAATTGAAATGATGACTGCCAAATTATCGAACGTCCGCATTAATAACACACTTATGGTTCATCAGATGAACAAAGTCTCTCACCAAAGATCTCTTTATGAGTTTGGAAGAAGGAGTGAATGATACTTATAAGATTTTGTAATTACTGTATAATTTTCAGAATTCTATAGAATGTCCCCGCACATTGCAGGACATACCCTTTTATAGTGCCTAGATTACAAAATTGTCTGTGGGTGCATGCCCCTGGAACTCCTCTAGAGGTTTGTCACGCCTAAGCCCGTAAGCCGCCTTTCATTTGCCAAGACGAAAATGTTTATTTTCTTCAGTCATGTTATTATGAAACTAAGCTGTCACAGATAGTCGTAACTGCAGGTGCTGTCAAGGCCGCCAAGAGGGGTGCAATTTGCCCTGGGACCCCAGTTAAAGGGGGGCCCAAATAAAGAATTGCAGTGAAATATACATAGATATAACTAACTGTCAACTAGACTTCCAGAATGCAGGATTTGGCCATTTCTGGGACCTCAGATTCAAAATTTTTCCGGGTGATGCCCCCGGACCAGGGAATCATAGTGTTAGAACAAGGAATCACGAGAGCCCCCAAGTCAAAGTTTGTCCTGGGCCCCCAAATTTCCCTGAGTGCTGTGCAGTGTATGTTCGTTTTGGCATTTTTGAATATGA